TGATCTCCTTCGGGGGCTCAGCTGGCGCAATTTTTGATGGCCACCCTCGTCACTGCGACGAGTTCATTTTTCATCAGTTCACTGGCTTGTGCCCGTGATTGGAGAAGAATCTTCATCATCGCCCTTCCTCATCGCCTTCACCATCGGCAACGGAGGGCTCCTACCTTTGTAAGTGGGACATGTTCGGCGCCGTCGCTGAACGCGTGTTTCGCGTTCTTGCTGCACCGCCTGTCGCAACGATCATTAATCACGTCTTCGAGTCTCAGCATTCTCTGCGGAATCACCGCCCACTCCGACCGACTGGCGCCACTCGCCAGCACACAATCCTTGCACTGATGGAGACCACACGTCCTGGCTGTCGTCACACGAAGCGTTCACTAAACATTTTCTACGCGTCCCGAAGCGCGCGCACTCGCAGTCGCGCCGTGATCAGGCGCGAGTGAGCCGCGGACTCCGAATAGCTTCTCTTGGGCAGCGTACCAAGGGGAAACTTCGCTCGACCGCCGCGACGTAAGAAAGTGGAAGTTGCATACCACCCGAGCCGTGGTAGGGCTTGGACAGATGCTCAAGATCAGCGCCCGGTTTTGCCTGCAGGCCGTGAATGGAAAGGATGGGCGCCGTTGTGCGCGGGAAAGAAGTACAAACGAGCAATACGAGATGGGGATAATACGGCAGAACTGGCGGCTGGAGCTCGACGATCTCGAGGCATAATGTATGCAAAACAAGAGCACTTGGTGGTCTTGGTTCATCACATTGGGTTCACGACATCTGCGCAGCGGGCACCCCTCACGCATCAACCGGCCGGAACAACAGGTCCACGGAAGAACAGTCTTTGAGGAGATGATTTGAGGTGCCACGCGTGCCGCGTACCTCTCAAGGCTCTCGTGTACTTGCCGTCTTTGCGATGACTAAAGGTAGTGTTATTGTTCCATGGAGCGAACAGCAAGCCATCACGGTCAAGGAACATCCGCTCGACGCGACAGGCAATAATCTCGAAGAGATGCGTTGCGGGCAAAGCTCAGTCGAGCCCGGTGGCTTTTCTGGACATATTTGCAGTTCGTCTTCTGTATGCCTGAACTTTCGCGCGGCATAGTTCGTACACGAGATGCCGAATGCACGGCACGGCAGACGTCTGCCGGCGACACTTGTGCAGCGGAAACTCGATCTTAGGGATCACGTGCGACCACTACTACCCGCGCAATGTGGACGTGGACCACAGGCTGAACAATTCACGACCTGCGGTTGGCTACACTTCGTGCGATTACTCCAAAGAGGAGTGCCATCTCCGTGACGAGGCATCCCTACGTGTGCTTGAGCTCCTGAAAAGCCGCCAAAAACAAAAAAGACATTTCTGCGTGTTCCGGTTCAAGCGGTATGAAGCCCTAGTGGGTATCGTGAAGCCCTATCGACAAGCCCCCGGTAACTTCACTCTCAGATCTCCACCCGCCGTAGCGCAGCCGATTCTTGCGCAAGCGAGAATGATGCCAACACTCGAACTCCACCCTTCTTCGTTAAACGAAGGCTGCTCGATGGCATCCTCATGAACGGCAGCTACTGGATGTCCGCCAAGCACGGAAAAGCCGGTATACCTGAGCGGCTGAACTGGATGATTGTTGTGATCGAGGAAGGTCATGACGATGTATCATCATCGGGGATTGGTTCGCTTCTGTAGATCGCAAGTGCTCTCATCATCATCGTCGCTTGCCGACATGCTGTGTTGCCTCGACTCGGAATGGCCGAATCGAAGGGAGGTGCGAGGGGATATTGTTACTATCTTTTGGGTATACCGCGGCTGAGACGTTGTTCGAAAGAAGTGATTAGAATTTGTACGCTCTGTTATGCTGATCAAGTCTAACAGATCACAACGCCATTTGAAGACCGTCCTTCTGTACATCTGGACTCAGTACGTGATCGTCAAGCTGGTATTCCTCCATTCCGTCCTCAGGTCCTCTTTCACCAACCTCTCGAACATGAACCGCCCGACATCGTCCCTTCGAATCGTATTCCCAATCTCAGGCTGATCCTCAGTCCCGACTCTCACCTTGCCCAAACCCAACGCCTGCCCATCCATCAACAAACTCGGCTTCACGAACACATACGATCCGATTCCAGACTGCTCAGATTTCGAATCTTCTTTGACCAATACCTGCACCCGCCTCTTGTCCTCGTGCGGCTGCTGGAGAACATAGTGGTACAACCAGGTGAATTTGACTGGAACATCCCATGGCTTGCCTTCGCTTGGAATTCCTGTCGTGGAGACGTTGATGAAGAGAGGTTTTCGTGAAGCTGGCGAGGAGGCTGAGAGCTCTCGCGCGACTTTCAGGATTGCGGCTGTGACATCTCCGCAGAGAGTAGGTTGGTCGATTGTTACGGGTTTGAGAAGACTCCATTGTAGCTTTGGTGCTGCTCCGACGCCGTTGATGATTATGTCTACTATTCGACCTCCGTTGTCTTCGGGCGCGATGGTTCGTCGAATGCCGGCTGGATCGGTGGCGTTGCCTTCTAGGATGGTGAGGTATTTGCCTATAGTGTCTTCGCTGACGTTCTTGGTTTTGAGGACGTCCTTCAGCTTTTGAGGTGTTCGCACGAGCGCTGTGGAGTGATATCCGGCGTTGAGAGCGAGTGCTAGACATGTACCTGCGCAGCCGCCTGTTGCGCCAAAGAAGGCAAGTGTCTTGTTGGGAGTTGTGGCCATGATGTGAGTTTTAGTGAGTTGGCTCCGGCTTGCGGTCGCTTGTGTGTCAAGAATGCTCCTGGCGATAGTCAATAGCAGTGCGTTGAGTGCCTGAGCTGGAAGCAGACTGAGGGCGGGAGGAGAAGATGATATACACATTCCATCTTCGTCCAGGCATATCTGTGCATGTGCGCACAATCACGATCCTACTACTGAAGCCTGGCCAGTTGGTAAGCTACGCACATACACCGCACCAAACTTCGTGCGCATGGTCGCTTGCACAGCCAACAACGCCAGAATCCTTCACATTGGAAGGGCGCCTCAAAGGCATGGTTTCGGAGGAACAAGCAAGCCTGTCGTGAGCTTGCTCCACGTTGGTGCTACCTTACGTGCAGCATTCAAGCGTTTTCACGCTTTCTTGAAGTGGGCGTGTGTACAAGCTCCATACCACACGGCACAGCGGAGCAACTTTTGTAGAGATAGAGGTTCTGATAGTTGAAGCTTCGAGTCAGAGACGCGAATGCGAGATATCTTTGCGACGGAAGGATTTCGGATGGATGCAAGATGAGTGCTGGGGCATCCCTTCGTTTACGGAAGGTGATTTGAACGTCTGGTAGCGTCAACTCTGATTCTCGCGTAAGACCTTCCGCGCGATGGTTTTGCAGGGGCTTATAGCTAATTAGATCGTGTTCGAGGTCTATACTTCGATTATCGCGTCGTAGGTAGTATTAGTATAAAATCGTTATTCTTATAGAAGGTAGTCGTTCGTCGCTATAGTAGCTATTTATAGTATATTCTAGTTATTCTAGCTACCTTCTTATATCTATACGAACTTGCTAGAAGTCTCCGATCTGCCTAATTATACTACTATTCTAGACCTTAATAATATTAGTAGCTATATAGATAATATTTTATTAATATCTTTTACTAGTAATAG